GGGCGGAGCCTCCTGCTGGTTTTACTACCAGTTCTATAGAACTGGTCCGAACCGGGGGCAACCCACCACTGGCATGGGGGCAGGGCGTATGCACGGGGCCACACACACATGCATGGGGGGGCGTGGCGGCGTGCAGGGGTCACGCATGTGCAGAGGTTGCACACACATGCTCAGGGGAAGGATGCATGCATGGGGGCTGCACGCACATTGCATTTTGAGGATTCGGGTGCACAGTGCGCATTCGCACAAGCGCACTTGCGCTTTGGGCACTCAGTCCGAAAAACGTTAGCCATCACTGTTCTAGTACAACCCGCTGCCCAAGGCAAGGTCCAAGCCAGGGGTGAAATGCTCCCGGTTCGGACCGGATCGCCCGATCCGGTAGCAATGACAGCGGGTGGTTCGGAGAACCGGTAGCAAAAATCCCTGCCCCCCCTCCCACCATGCCCAGCTGAGCCGCACGATCATCAGAGGCTTTTTTTTTTTTAACTTTTAAAAGCATTTTTTCTACAACCTCTTCGGACGAAAAAATGCTTTTAAAAGTAAAAGAAAAAACCTCTGATGATTGCGCAGCTCAGCTGGGATCGTCAGAGGCTTTTCAAAGCATTTTTTTTTGCAACCTCTTGGCTGAAGAAATGGTAAAAAAAATACTTTGAAAAGTCTCTGATGATCCCAGCTGAGTTGCCTGATGGGCAGAGGCTTTTCAAAGCATTAGAAAAAATGCTTTGAAAAGTTTAAAAAAAAAAAAAGTTGGCCACGCCCACCCAGTCACATTCCCTACCACCACCACCAAGCCACGCCCACAGAACCGGTAGTAACAAATTTTACATTTCACCCCTGGTCCAAGCTATTCTTGAAAATTTCTAGAGATGGAGCACTCACAACTCCGGGAGACAAGCTATTGCACTAATGAATTGTTCTCAGTGCTTTTTCAATACTTTGTTCTTTTGGGGAGTCATGGCTGCCGTCTTGCTCTTTGGGGATCCTGTCTGTGGAACAGAGCATGAGTTGTATAGTGGCCTAGGGTCTGGAAGGAATAGGAAAATCAATTGTGGGGAAAGATTGCTGGAAACAGGAATGGGAAATAACAACAGCAGCAGCAGTTGGAAGAGTGAGAAAGTTGGAAGAATAGAAACTCAGCCCTCATTTTTTTTTTTTTTAAATTTGATTTATATGCCGCCCTACTCCGGAGACTCAGGGCGGCTTATAATGTGTTAAGCAATAGCCTTCATCCTTTTGTATGTTTATACAAAGTCAGCTTATTGCCCCCACAAACTGGGTCCTCAATTTACCTACCTTAGAAAGGATGGAAGGCTGAGTCAACCTTGAGCCTGGGGAGATTCGAACTTGCAGTAATTGCAGGCAGCTGAATGTTAATAACAGGCTATTAGCCAGCTGCGCCACCAGGTCCCTCATTGAAGACGTTCTTTCTTTCCAGCACATGTCAAGACACCTTTACTTAACCGAAAGCTTTAAACAAGACTGATCCTGCAGGAAATTAAAACAAAAGAAAGGCTAATTATTTCAGTGAGGTTTGAGACTAGACACCTATCTCGGAGCTCTTTTTCTTTTGATGAAGACGACTTTCCATGCCTGTAATTGCTCACTGGAGTATGCTTTGTTCTGATTTCCCCTCCCTCCCCCCCATTTGTTGTAGGGGGATATAGTGTTTATAGCACCTTGTCATTTTCACCCACTAAAGATGATGGAAGCTTCCTAGATGATCTTGAACAGAACAGAACAATATAATTGGAAGGGACCTTGGAGGTCTTCTAGTCCAACCCCTTGCTCAATTTCAGACAAATCGTTGTCCAAACTCTTCTTAAAAACTTCCAGTGATGGAGCACCCATAACTTCTGGAGGCCAATTGTTCTAGATTGCTTCTGTCCTTGGTTGGTTCCCATCCCTTGTTTCTACGGTAGTCTTGCCTACTACTGGTGCTTTGGAAAACAGGTTCTTTGTGGAAGCCCCTCAAATATTGGAACACTGCTGTCAGCGTTCCCCTCCAGCCCTTCTTTTCATTAGACTAACTAGACATACCCAATTCTTGCAAGTGTTCTTCATATGTTTTAACCTCCAGTCCTCTAATCGTCTTTGTTGCTCTTCTCTGCACTCTTTCCAAAGTCTCAACATCTTTTTTTTATAATGTGATGACCAAAACTGGATGCAGTATTCCAGGTGGGGTCTTACTAAAGTTTTATAAAGCAGTAACTAGTACTTCACAAGATCTTGATTCTACCCCTCTGTTAATGCAACATAGGACTGAATTGGCTTTTTTTGGCAGCTGCAGCACACGGCTGGCTCATATTTAAGTGATTGTCCACTAGGACAATCCAAGATCCCTCTTACAGTTACTACTATTGAGCCAGGTACCATCTATATCTGTGATGGCGAGCCTATGGCACATGTGCCACAGGTGGCACGCGAAGCCATATCTGTGGGCACGTTGTCCTAGCTCAGCTCCAGCGCACATGCGTGCACTGGCCAGCTGATTTTCGGGCCTTCTGGTCCTACCGGAAATCAGGAAATGGGCCATTTCCAGCCTTGGGGGAGGGGAGGGGGGAGGCCGTTTTCGCCCTCCCCAGACTCCTAGAAAGCCTCTAGAGCCTGGGGAGGGCAGGCTCTGGTTCTACCAGAAGTTAGGAAACAGGCCGTTTCTGGCCTCCAGAGGGCCTCTGGTGGGGCTGGGGAAGGCCGTTTCCGCCCTCTCCAGGCTCCTAGAAAGCCTCTAGAGCCTGGGGAGGGCGAAAAATGGGCCTACCGAGCTCACTGTGTGCCAAAAGCGGGGGAAGCATGGGGGGGTCACGCACGCATACGCTGGGGGGCGGGGCACATTGAATTATGGGTGTGGGAATGCACACGTGCAACACCCCCCACCCGTGCGACCCTCCCCCGCTCCCCCCACTTTTGGCACACAACGGCAAAAAGATTAGCCATCACTGATCTATATAATATACCGATACATTTGGAGTAGTAGAACTGTACCTACCTAGGTTTTGGATGGGAGATCTCCAAAGCAATTGTAAGACTGCAGGTGAGATGTGTCCATGAAAAATACTAGGAATCAGACCCAGGGTGGATTTGATTTAAATCGAGTTGATTTAAATCACATTTAAATCATGATTTAAAAAGGCTTGATTTAAATCAACTCGATTTAAATCATAATTTTTAAAGAGCAACTGTCATCTCTGCTACTCCTTTGACCCACTGTTGACTCACCGATAGTCCCAGTGTTGCAGAATATACAGCCTCATGCTACATCACTAAGCTCCATCTCATGCTGAATAAACTAAATTATTTATGTATCTTAAATAGAAAACTATCTTACGATAGATTTTGACCCCAAAAGTTTTTTATTAAAATAAATTTGATAAAAATCAAAAAAATCCGATTTAAATAAAAAAAATCTGATTTTTTTGATTTTTTTTTTAAAAAATCATTGATTTTTATCCACCCTGATCAGACCTGACAGAGTCTTTAGCCTTTTATAACATCACCCAACCTCTGCTGTGATATTGTAAGTCCAAGAGAAAATCTTGTATAATTCATTTCCCACCAAAGCTAGCCTTGTGACACATACTCGATGCCAATAAAGGAGAATGTTTGTAACTCAGGGTTGAAATGAGGGCTCCTTGGTGCTCTCTGAGCTTGGCGGTTTTCTTGCTGACGTTTCATTATCCAAACTCGGTAACATCATCAATGCACTGATTATGTTATCTAGTTTAAGTAATCGCGCCTGGACTACTGCAATGCTCTCTACATGGGGCTCCCCTTGAGGAGCACCCGGAGGCTCCAACTGGTGCAGAATGCGGCCACGTGGGGGATTATGGGAGCGAGGGGGCGCTCCCATGTGACACCTCTCCTGCGTGAGCTGCATTGGCTTCCGGTTGTCTTCCGGGTGCGCTTCAAGGTGTTGGTTACCACCTTTAAAGCGCTCCATGGCATAGGACCTGGGTATTTGCGGGACCGCCTTCTGCCGCCGATAGCCTCCCACCGACCAGTACGCTCCCACAGAGAGGGACTCCTCAGGGTGCCGTCAGTCAGGCAATGTTGGCTGGCGACCCCCAGGGGGAGGGCCTTCTCTGTGGCAGCTCCTGCCCTCTGGAACGATTTGCCCCCGGAGATACGAAGGATATCGGATCTCCGGGTCTTTCGCCGTGCCCTGAAAACTTTTCTTTTCCATCAAGCAGGCCTGGCGGGAAACCCCCCCCCCTTTTTTTTTTACTTTTTTAGTTTTTTAGCTTTTTAGCTTTTAATCTGTCAATGGGTTTTAATTCGAATTGTTTTAAATTTGGGCCAAAGTATGTAATTCTTTTAATAATTTTAAATTTTGTATTGGCATGTGTTTTAGTTCGGGCTGTGCACCGCCCTGAGTCCACTAGGAGAAGGGCGGTATACAAATTGAAATAAATATTTAAAAATATTTAAATGAGGCGTCGGCAAGAAAACCACCAAGCTCGGAGAGCACCAAGGACCCCTCACCTACTTGAGGGCCAGGAAAAAAACAAAACAAAACACCATTGCAAATAAGAAATTGCTATACCTTTTTAATTATAGTCGTCAAATTAATCATGATTAAAATATGGAAATATCTGGGCAAAGTCTCAGGGAGATGGTATGAGCAGAACTGGTCTTTTCCTGAACTTGAAAATGTTCCGGATAAATTTCATCGCATGACAAGCCGAAGTAGTGAATCACTGTTTTGCAAGAGATGATGGAATCTCATTGTTTATGTAAAGCAGGATAAGCATGCTGGAAATATCATGTCTCAAACCTCACGGGTATGTTCCAGTGTACCAGCACTGTGTAAATATTTTTAAACAAAATTCAAACAAACAATTTAAAAAAAAAAAAAATCTGGAACAACCGAAAACACTTCCGGGGTGCCCTGAACATGACTTTAGGAGTTTGAAATGTTTTCCTTTCCTTATTACTTCTACTGAAGACAACTGAAAGGTTGGCTTATAGTTTAATCGGCTCTCATCTCTTTTTTCCCCCCTCAGTTGGTACATAAATGGAATCACGAGAAATAAAGCCAACCAGCTGCTTCTCTCCCCCCCAAATCACCACGGCTCCTTCCTTATTCGGGACAGCGAGAGTAACAAGGGAGAATACTCTCTGTCAGGTAAACCTCACCTTATTCTTCATGCTACAGGTAGACCTCTTTGTCAGAGTCGACCTCCAAAGTTGAATCGTGTTTAGGATTAATTGGATTTGAGTAGGGGTGGGCTTCAAAAATTTTAGCAAGGGGTTCTCTGCCCGGTTGCTGGGTGGACGTGGCCATGGTGGGCATGGCTTAGTCGGCCTCCTGCACCACAGCAGGGAGGGCGTTTTTGCCCTCCCTGGGCTCCGGAGGCTTTCCTTGAGCCTCCAGGAGGGCGAAAACAGCCTCCCCAGGCTCTGGAGGCCCTCTGGAGGCCAGAAATGGGCCCGTTTCCAGCTTTCCCGAACTTCCGGTAGGCCCGTTTTTCGCCTTCCCCGAACCTCCGCGTGCACTTACCTGCATCCAAAACGGGCCGCATGGGGACTCCTGGGAGGGGAGGGGAGAGGTGGGTTGAGCGGGGCCAGCCAGGAGTGGGATTTGGGGGTTCTCTGAAGTGCACAGAATCTTAGCTAGAGGTTCTCCTGAACCCCTGAGAACCTCCAGCAACCCACCCCTGGATTTGGGTCTTCCAAGTTGAAGATCAAGCTGGATTCTTCCTCCTCATCTCTTGTTGTTCACATGGTCAACCAAGTCAAGATGGTGATTGTGATGGTATCATCAAACCAAGCCATGGTCCCCAAAAAATCAAGATGATGGGGCTGATAATACAATCAAAGATCTTTTAACACGCTTAAAAACAGGCAGAGCTTCACACCATCAGGGACACCAGGCTTGGCTACAATTGGATCCTGGCTCTAAAACTCAGTCAGTAGAAGAGATGCTTAGAGTTGAACTCTGGGGTCCTGGGTGCTCTCTGAACTTGGTGGGGGTTTTGCAGATGTTTCATTATCCAACTAGGTAACATCATGAGTGCTAGAAGGGAGTGGAGTTGAGGAGGAGGAGGAAGGGGAAAGGAGGAAAGAGGAAGGACAACTGTGGGTCCTTGGTTCTTAATTGTTTTCTTGCAAATGCTTCATTACCCAACTAGGTAACATCATCAGTGCCAGAAAGGAGGGACTTCTTCATTATCCAACTAGATAATGAAACATCTGCAAGAAAACAACCAAGCTCAGAGAGCACCAAGGGCCCCACATTAAGAATTGTCTGAACTTTGGAACTTTCTGCCTTGTGTAAAAACGGATTTCCTTTACTGTGCTTGAAATAGAGGCAGGGGAGGGGCTATCTTTAGGGCTGGCTGGGGGATTCTGGGATTTGGGGTCCAACTCCTCTTAAAAAGTTTCCAAGGAAGAAAAAAAAAAACCTGGGTTAATTTATTTTGCACTGAGCAGGGGAAGTTAGATTTGATGGCCCTTGCGAAGCCAACATCATTCTCCTTAATTGTCAGTGGTATCAAACACTGTAAAATTAGTTTGTTTTCAGAGACAATCGGACTCTGGTAGATCTTGTAGGGCAGTTTGATTACTCGTTTTGGCAGTTCCTGCTTTGCCTGGCCTCCCACTCATATTTCCTAGCAGCAGAAGCAGGTCTTCCAAGAAGAAGGGTGGCATGGCAGCTTTGCGGCTCGCTCTCTTCCCTCCCCTAGGAACCACTGGGATATTTTGTAGCCAGGCAAATAAACACCAGGTGAAATGAGGAGGTAGGAGTGGAGGTGGAGGCAGACTCAAGTTATTTATTTTGCTTTCCTTTAATGCAGAGTTTTGCCTTTTGTTAGGTGTTGCTGGTGATTGTTTTGCTAAAGGATTTGGATCAGTTACAGGCGGGGCAGTGATTTTCACTGTTCAGCGTTTCTGGTTAGCAAGAGCTAAGTGGATTGTGAATTGCAGCCTGACAACTTTTGAGGGATCGGGGAGTGTGCAAATGAAGTTGTTCTTGGAATGCAAACACTTGTGTTTTGCACAGCTCAGTCCAAAAGGCAATCTAAAATGTGTTTGGCTTCCTTCCTTCCTTCTTTCCTCCCTTCCTCCCTCCCTTCCTTCTCTTCCTTACCAAGGTCTTTTTCTTTCTGGTTTTTTTCTTTCTTTTTCTTTCTCTTCCTTCCTTCCTTCCTTCCTCATCAAGATCTTTTTCTCTTTCTTTCTTTCCCTTCCTCATCAAGATCTTTCTTTCTTTCTCTCTCTCTCTCTCCCACCCCCTCTTTCTATCTTTCCAGCCAACATGTTCTCATTACTTGATATGACCTAAGATGTCTACTCCTCGTACAATTGGCCAGCTGGAAGAAAGGATGCAAGAAATATCTATCAGGATTAAAGGGAAACAGAGTCTTACTTCAGTTGCTCACATGTTGCAGCTAAGAGGCGACTGGATAATTTCTCTGGATATTGAGCAGTAAAGCAGGATGAATTGTTCGCTATGCAAGGAATCCCTAGGCACCCTGAAAACAAATCATTCCAATTTGCAACACAAAAGACACCAGTGTCTCCTCCACCCTAATCTGTGTGATAAATTCATTCCAGAAAATTTGGTTCTGAAAAAAAATAATAATTACTAATCGCACGCCAATTCCCTCTCTTGTGTGTAATTACACTAAGTGATGCAATAAACAAAGGTATTCTGCCTACACACGTTGGATGGAGCAAGGGATGAACTAGCCTCAAGCCACACCATGCCTTTTGCACAATTAGGAGTGACTAACAATGGCAAATAGGCCGTCTAGAATTCTCATCCTTTCACAGCTGAGCAGCTTTGAATTGTGGTGACGGCAGTTCCCCAGAATTCCAAGCCAGAAATTCCAAGAGGTGCCAACACAACACAGCTGGAGGGCACCTGCCTGGCACGGCTGAGCTAAACACAAGGAAACCTTCTGAATGACAGTTGTGCATGCAATTCCTTGCAAAAAAAAAAAAATGTCATGAATGAAGGAATAGGTAGTGTCATTGCCTCAACCTCCGTCTGTTCCTGTTTTTCCCAACTTAGGTCAACATCCATGATGAAGGAAAGATTGGTGTATCTTCCAAAACATGCAGAGATTATTTCCAAGCATTTTCGCCCCAGAGGCATTTCTACCTTCTTAATTCCTCTCAGGGAATCATGGGAAATGTAGATTCCCATCAAACACGTACGGCATCCTTATTCCTCTCTCCTTGTGGTTGATGAGAGACCATCTTTGTTTTGGCATATTCTGGACACTTTTCCAGGAAATTGGCAGATTGGAGCGAGAGCTCAGAAGACAAATATGACTTGGAGACTTCTTATGAGGACAGGGCAGTGGTGGGATTCAGCCGGTTCAGACTAGTTCAGGCCAGTTCGGGCAAACTGGTAGTTAAATTGCTGGCTGGCCCCATCCCTCCCCTCCCCGCCCCTTCCAGGAGTCCCCAGTAGGCTGCAGAGAGGCCTACTAGGCCCAAAATGGGCTGCGGGCCCCCGCATGGCCCGTTTTTGCTCCCCAGGGGATGCAGGAGGCCAAGTGCTGCCTGTCGCACCCCCTGGCCATGCCCACCCAGCCGGTCATTAGGGCAGAGAACCAGCTGTTAAATTATTTGGAATCCCACCACTGGGACAGGCCGAAGGTCAGCCTGGAGAAATGAACACCAATTAAAAGACATGATATCAGTGCTCAGATACATAGAAAGGTGCATATAAAGAAGATGTTCAGGAATTATTTTTTTCATGGTCATTGAAACTAGGACAAGAAATAACAGATGTGAGTTGCAGGCTCTTCGCTCAAAGATAAGCAAAAATTCCAGAGGTCAGCAAGTCTTACCTACAAGGTAGGTACAGTAAGTGATAACTCTACCTAGACAGGTAGAATAAAATCCTGGAGTTGGCTCTGGGTTCACCATCTCAGCCGGATCTTGAGGGGCTCTTACAGAGAAGAGGGACAGTATCTAAAGGCAGGGCGAGAAGTAACGAGTGGAAACTTATCAAAGAGAGATCCAACCTAGAAATACAGTAAAGAGAAATTTCCTGACCGTCAGAACAATTAATCAGTGGAACAGCTTGCCTCCAGAAATATATCATATCATATCATATCATATCATATCATATCATATCATATCATATCATATCATATATCATATCATATCATATATCAATAAAATAATAAGAAATAAAATAAATAATAAAATAAAATAAAATAAAATAAAATAAAATAAAATAAAATAAAACCATAGAGCTCAGTGACAAGCAATGCTGGTGGCTACTAAACTACAGGAAGGGAAATTGCAAAATTGACCCAAATCCTAATCCCAAATTATCTTCTCCTTCAATCTTCAGTTCGCAACCACGGCAAAGTGCGACATTTCAGAATCTTCTCGAATCCTGCCGGAAGTTTTTACTTGGAAAAAGCTCATGTCTTCCCGAGTCTGGAAGAGCTCCTTGCTTATTACAGAGCCAACTGGAAAATCATTGAATGCCCTTTGTCTCAGCCCTGCGTCCAGAAGGTAAGTGGAAGAACATGGCACCACCGTGTGATTTTTCTCCATCCCTGACAAACTTCCTGGGGGCTGGATGTGAGGCTTTTATTGGTGTGTGTTTGATTTTGCTTTGCCTTTCGATCAGCTTCAGGTTTTTCTTTTGAAATGTTCTTGTCTTCTCAAAAGGGAAGCAGTTAATTTCAATCAACCCCTTCCAAAGTAAACTACTTACAGGATCCAATCTGAGTCAGTCACTGGAGCCAAAGGTTCATTCTTCCAAGCGTTCAGGCTAAACTGGAGCCCATCTTCAGAGAACTTCTCTCTCTCCAGAAGGTGTCACAGATTGGATCCTGCCTGCAAGACTATGCTGGAATACATATACCGTATTTCCCCAAAAATAAAACCCTTATATTTTTTTGAACCCCAAAATAAGCGCTTGGCCTTATTTTCAGGGAGGTCTTATTATTTTGCGGCGCGTGGAGCAAGATGGGGCTTCTCTTGCCTTCTCACCTGATTTCCAGCTCTGTCTCCCTAACCCTAACCAGAGGAAATGGCAGGGACCAGCTGCCCATGTGTTTAAATATTTTCAGGGAGGGCTTATTGTCTGAGGGCAGGAAAACAGATGGAAACCAATCAGGGAAAGAGATACCTAGAGCTAAGCAGAAATTTCCTGACAATTAGAACAATCAACCAATGGAACAACTTGCCTCCACAAGCTGTGGGCTCTCCAACACTGCAGATTTTTAAGAGGAGATCGGACAACCATTTGTCTGAAATGATATAGAGTTTCCTTCTTGAGCAGATTGGGTCCCTAAATTCCCCTTCCAACTCTGTTATTCTCTGATCTGGATCGTTTGTCTCTCATTTTACCCCTTCTACAGAGAACTTCTGAGATGGATCAGTGGGAACGTCCCCGGTCTGAATTCCAGCTCTGGAGGAAGATGGGTGAAGGATGTTTTGGAGAAGTTTGGGAAGGAATGTGGAAGAACACAGTGCCCGTAGCCATCAAAATTATGAAACAAGGTTTGTGGGGTGCAGAACGTATCCTCCCTTGTGCGATGCGTCTTGTCCAGAGGTGGTATTCAGCTGGTTCGGATCGGTTTGCCCGAACCGGTAGCGGAAATTGTGGGTGGGCCCGCCCCGTCCATCTGCCCTGGCTCTATGCCATTCTATTTAGGCACGTTTTTGAGGCCGGGTGCATGCGTGGAAGGTGCGTGCATGAGCAAAGCACATGTGCAAAAGACTGGGCACATGTGTGGAAGCCAGGCGCTCGCACGTACCGGGCATGCATGCACATGAAGCAAACGTGTGCACACAGGGCGAACCAGTAATAAAGTAATCCGAAACCCACCACTGGCCTTGTCTGCCTGTTTCTTAAGAGGTGGATCAGTCAATCCTCCATGAGTAGACCAGAGTTGAATGATGGGGCCCTAGATTGAACCCACCAGTTGAACAAAAAAGTGAGAATGACTTCCCCCAGCTGGAAATGATAAGCCATGATAAGAGGAGAACAATAGAGCAGATATTGGGGTACCAATTTAAACCCTGCCCTAACATCCTTGCATCCCAGCGCCTGGTGCAAGCACATAGTCACAGGATTGGTATCACAAAATTGTGGCACAGTTTTTGCCCTATAATTTTCTGGCACCCTCCCTAAGGACACTGTTGTTATCAGAAGTCATGATAACAATGGTTTTCACAGCAGTTAATCCAAGTGGTTGTTAATAAACCAGGTCAATTAACCTCTTGGGTCATTCCATCCTCATCAATGAAAAGACATGCGGAAGGGAGCAAAGTTCAGGTTAATGCTAAACACATTTTTTATTTGGAAATCTCTAGGTGATATTCTGTACCTAGTCTCTGTCAGGTTTCAATGTCATCTCAAATAAATTGCACTCATTGGTTGATTCTCATCTTCTCATTGGCCATCTTCCAAGTCAGTCTTCCCAGCTCCTGCCTTCAACCCCAGGAATGTCCCCCTCCCATCCCATCTCCTAGGGGATATTATCTACAGAGAAAATAAGTAGGTGAAAAGTCAAGCCTCGTCTCTTCTTTATGGCAGCATTAAAATGCTGACAGTCGGTTTGTACTAGGTTACTGGATCCTGGAACCCATGTTCCAAATCCAATGTGAGCTATCCAAGTTAAACAGAAACTTCTTCTTCCAGTTCTCATTCAATTTGATGAAAGAACATTTCCACTGGGATTAGACTAGATTAAATCAGATTAGATTAAAATAAGGATTTATTTTAACTTGAAATAAAGACTTGAGCAGGAGGTTGGACTAGAAGACCTCCAAGGGACCTTCCAACTCTGTTATACTGTTTCCCAGCCTTGGGGGGGGGGGTGTTTCCAGATGGGTGGACTTCAATTCCCAGAACTCTCATCAATAATCAGGCTGGCTGTGGAATTCTGGGAGTTGAAGTCCACCCATCTTCAAACTACCAAGGTTGAGAAACACTGCCCTAGGGCTTCCAGATGTGCTGGAATGAGAGAACAAGCCCAGACCTTGTCCACGCAAAGCCAACTCATCTTGCAAATGTCTTTCATCTCCTTCACAGCTGACATGAGGGACGACTTTGTCAAGGAGATCCGGAACTTGAAAAGTCTGAAACACACAAGGCTCATCAAACTTCTGGCGGTCTGTTCTGTGGGGGAGCCGGTTTACATCGTCACAGAGTTGATGCGGAAGGGCAACCTCCATAGTTACCTCAACAGTGAGTATTATCTCGCTCCGCTGATGCTTCCCGACCCAGTCTTCGTATGGTTGAGTAGCCCAATGGGAAAATGGTGGCCATGACAAATTACTAAAACCCAGCATAGGGTGCAACACAGCCTGCAGCAGTCTAGCATTCTTCAAACATCTGGATTATGGGTAGTCCTCGACTTACAACCACACTTGAGCCCCTAATTCAGTCACTAAACAAATAGTAAGCCACCCAACATGGTAGAGCTTTGATCTTATGGCTGTGGCTACGTGCTGGATCTTTATGATTCCGCCTCATGGGTGCCATTCACATACACACACATACACACTCTTACAAATAGTCCTCACTTTACGACCACAGTTGAGCCCAAAATTTCTGTTGCTTAGCAAGAAGGTTGTTAAATGAGTTTTGCTCCCATGTTATGACCTCTCTTGCCACAGTTGTTAAGCGAATCACTGCAGCTGTTATGTTAGGAGCACAGTGTTTTAAGTGAATCTGGCTTCCCCATTGACTTTGCTTGTCAGAAGGTCGCAAAAGGGGATCACGTGACCCCGGGATACTGCAACGGTCATAAATATGAACCGGTTGCCAAACGTCTGACCATGGGGATGTTGCAATGGTCCTATGTGTGAAAAAAGGTCATAGACCACTTTTTTCAGTGCCGTTGTAACTCCGAATGGTCACTAAATGACTGGTTGTAAGTCGAGGTCTAACCTGTACTAGCCTTCTGCTTACACAGAGAGAGGAAAGAGAGAGAGAAAGAGAGAGAGAAAGAGAGAGAGAAAGAGAAAGAGAGTAAAAAAGAGAGAGAAAAAGAGAAAGAGAGAGAAAAGAGAGAGAGAGAGAGAGAGAAAGAGAGAAAAGAGAGAGAGAAAAAGAGAGCAAGAGAGAAAAGAGAGAGAAACCGAGAGAGAAAGAGAGAGAGAGAAATAGAGAGAAAGAGGAGAGAGAGAGAGAGAAAAAGAGAGAAAAAGAGACAGAGAGAGAGAAAAAGAGACAGAGAAAAAGAGAGAGAGAAAGAGAGAAAGAGAGAGAAAGAGAAAAAAGAGAGAGAGAAAGCAAGAGAGAAAGAGAGAGAAAGAGAGAAAAGAGAAAGAGAGAGAGAAAGAGAGAGAAAGAGAAAAGAGAGAAAGAGAGAGAGAGAAGAGAGAGAAAGAGGAAAGAGAGAGAGAAAAAGAGAGAAAAAGAGACAGAGAAAGAGAGAGAAAAAGAGACAGAGAGAGAGAGAGAGAGAGAGAGAGAGAGAGAAAGAAAAGAGAAAGAGAGAGAGAAAGAGAGAGAAAGAGAAAAGAGAGAGAGAGAAAGCAAGAGAGAAAGAGAAAGAGAGAGAAAGAGAAAAGAGAAAGAGAGAAAGAGAAAAGAGAAAGAGAAAAGAGAGAGAAAGAGAAAGAGAGAGAAAAAGAGAGAGAAAGAGAGAGAGAAAGAGAAAGAGAGAGAAAAGAGAGAGAGAGAAAAGAGAGAGAGAGAGAGAGGGAGACAGGCAGACAGATTAAAAAGCCTTCCATGGTTTGCTAACGGCCATCCTATCAGCCAGGAAATCACCCAAGAACTGGTTCCTCCTCAAATGTGATTTTATAAATTCCCTTGGGAAAATTGCTCTCTATTATTTTCCCAAATTTCATCTCCACTGGGCAATTGGGCAGCAGCTTCCTTTGGTTCAGACGCCATCGAAGGCAGCTCCGATTTCAGCCAAGGGTGACAAATTCCCGGTGCCGTTTCGCCGCCCCCAACGTGCCACCCTCCTCGGCTGAGAACTCTTTCGTCCAAAGGAAGCCAGTTTGGCTCCTTCCCATGAGAGGTTTCCTGGGTTGAAGGGCCCACCTGACCTCCTTTTCAGATCTGGTTTGTTACCTAAGATGGGGCAACTCCCTAGGAGAACGAGTCTGGAGCCAATGTTCTCTGTTTCCAAGAGCCTAAACACTTTTGCCTGCTAATGAGTTTCTTTCTTGCATCATCCCGGAGCGAAATAGCTTTTGCGTGGTGCGTTGTGTTTACAAAGTGTAGTCTGATCTCATCTTCCTTCTAAAACTCAGCCTTTCCGTGGACGGAGATGGAAACATCAAACTGGTTTTCTCCTGAGGGTTGGAAGTCTCGATTCCCCGCTTTGAGAGAATCCAGGCCCTTGTGGGATGTGTCAGTCAAACCCAGAGGTTAATCCTCCGAGAATCGCGGCTGGATTGAATAAGGAAAGAAAAAAATCCACCCTACTGCTAAAATGGGTGGAAAGGAGCTGAGATGATGGCAGTTAAGGTTTTGCTTCAAAATTAAGCTGCTAATCCGGAAGTGAGACTCGTGGGTTTAAGTTTGCTTCAGGTAATATTTTGTGGGGAAATTACCTAGAAAGAATTGGATTGTGGTCAAGCAAGGGTGCTAGAGAATTCCCCTAAAATCAGGTCCATGTTAGTATTGTAAAAGAGCCTCACAACACACCAGCAGATGTGGTTTTTTTATGTTCTCCGTCTAACTTCTGACACAACACTGCCCTCTCTTGCCAAAGAAGCATAATCATTGACTTATGACCACAACTGAGCTCAAGATTTTTTTTTTGAGATTTTTTTTTATTTTAAAACAAAAACAAAACATAAAACCATCATCATTCCAATGACAGACAGTGAGTCGAACGGTTCATATTCTCTTGTGCATAAATCCATTTCTAAAATACCAATTTATAACAGAGACTTATATCTTTTATCGAAAAAAAAACATCAGATATTTTATCTTTACATCAATCCCATTTTTCATACTTCAATTCCATGATCTATTATCTATCCATTGATAAAACAAATCCCATATCAAATAATATTGTTTATCTTCCTGCTCTCTAATTTCAAATGTCAACTGAGCTCAAAATTTCTGTTGTTAAGTGAGTTTTGCCCCGTTTTACGACCTTTCTCACCACCGTTGTTAAGTGAATCGCTGCAGTTGTTAAATTAGGAACATGGTTGTTAAGCAAATCTGGCTTCCCCATTGACTTTGTTTGTCAGAAGGTCCCAAAAGATGATCACAAGATCCCAGGACACTGCAAACCTTCATAATTATGAGCCAGTTGCCAAGTGTTTGAATTTTGATGATGTGCAGATGCTGAAATGATTATAAGTTTGCAAAACAGTCGTGTGTCACCTTTTCAGCACCGTTGTAACATCAAACGGTCACTAAACGAATGGTTGTAATCAAGGACTTACCTGTACAGGTAGTCCTTGACTTAAGACCGCAATTGGGACCAGAATTTCCATTATTGCTAAGCAAGGCAGCTATTAAGCAAACTGCACCCGATTTTACAATCTTTTCTGCTTCCTTTGTTAAGTGTATCAGTGCAGCTGTTATTAAATGAATCAGGCTGTTGTAAAGTGAATCTGAAACTCCCCGTTGACTTTGCTTGTTGGAAACCAGCTGGGGTTTTAAATTGAGCCTATCATTTAATAATTTTAATTATTTTTAAATTTTGTCTGTCTTTGTGCTTTTAATCAGGCTGTATACCACCCTGAGTCCTTTGGGAGAAGGGCGGTATAGAAATAAAATAAATAAATAAATAAATAAGTCGCAAATGGCAAGGATGTGACCCAAGCCAAGCTGTCTCAGGAATTCTGGGAGTTGAAGTCCACAGGTTGTAAAAGGGCCACAGTTGCCCACCCCTGTCATAAATGCATACCGATGGCCAAGCACCTGAATGTTGATCACGTGACTATGGGGATGCTGTAATGGTCATAAGTTTGAGGACTGGTTATAAACCACTTTATAATTTTGGACAGTCACTAAATGAACAGTTATAAAACAAGGATTACCTGTAAGGACTAGTGAGGTTTAGCAAAGGATCAAAGGTTAATAGCAATAGCACTTAGACTTATATACCGCTTCACACTCTCTGAGAGGTTTACAGAGTCAGCCTCTTGCCCCCAACAATCTGGGTCCTCATTTTACCCACCTTGGAAGGATGGAAGGCTGAGTCAACCTTGAGTCAGTTAGGATCGAACTCCAGACTGTGGGCAGAGTTAGCCTGCAATACTGCATGGAATGGAATGGAATGGAATAGAATAGAATAAGTACTTAGACTTATATACCGCTTTATAGTGCTTTACAGCCCTCTAAGCAATTTACAGAGCCAGCATATTGCCCCCCACAATCTGGGTCCTCATTTGACAGACTTCGGAAGGATGGAAGTCTGAGTCAACCTTGAGCCGATAAGGATCGAACTCCTGGCGGTGGGCAAGAAGTTAGCCTGCATTCTAAACACGGTGCCTTGTTGATTTTTCAGGTGCTGCTGGAAAGGAATTGACCACACACCACTTGCTCAGCATCTCTTGCCAAGTGGCTGACGGGATGACCTATCTGGAGGAACAACATATCATCCATCGGGACCTCGCAGCAAGGAACATCCTGGTGGGAGACGACCTTGCTTGCAAAATAGCTGACTTCGGCCTTGCCAGGCTCCTCAAGGTGCATCCAAGGAAGCTTTGGCCCCACCCCACTTCACTCCATCATTTAGCTGTTTCCAGTCAAAGCAGAGCTGGAAGGGACCTTGGAGGTCTTCTAGTCCAACCCCCTGTTCAAGCAGGAGACCCTTTACCCGTGATGGTGAACCTAGGGCACGCGTGCACAACTGGCACACAGAGCCCTCTCTGCGGGCATGTGAGCCGTCGCCCAACTCACTTCCACTGCGCATGCACGAACGCGCCTCCCGCCGGCCAGCTGATTTTTGGGATGCGTGGGGGGGCAGGGCGCATGCAGGAGACACACACATTTGCAGGGGTTGGGGAAGCACGGGGGGGGGGAAACACCCCCCCACAGCCCATTTTTGGGTCCAGGAAGCTGCAGGGAGGCCTGCTAGGCCCAAAATGGGGGGCAGGGTCATGTGCGCATGCGCAGGGCAGCGGGAGTCACGTGCACATGTGTGGGGGCCGGGGGGAGCAGCGCGCCCTCCCCACCATGGCCCGTTTTTGGGCCCAGGAGGTTTGCAAGGAGGCTGTTCTGCCCCAGCTATGGACCCCAAAGAACGCAGCATACACAAAGTCTGTACGAACCCTATTTTAAATTAAATCAGTCTTTTTCAAATGAAGGCTGTTAATTAACTTTCATAACAGCCTACAAGAATCCAAAGAATAAATAATCGTAATCTTACTATGGTTGGCAGAAAGCCCAGAAGCAATTTGCAGAGAACTGATAAGAGAACTAAGATCAGGACACGAAGGAGAGTGAATGAAGTTGTTCCCTGCAAATTGCCTTAGTCGTCGTCCTTCCTTAAATAGGCTAAGGGAGCAGCCAATTAGCACCAAGCCTTACTCTCGAGGAGACCTCCTCCTGAGGAGCCACTCCTGCCTTTTGGCAGCTCTGCATGCCCGTGCATCGAGAAGAGGCTCCTCCTCTTCTTCCTCTTCACTTATGGGAGTTTCTGGAGGTTCTGAAGGCCCTGGCTGAATCCCCGCCTCTGGCACCACATCTTCTCCAGCCTCCTCATTGTCTGACTCGAGTGCCAGCTGCACAGGCTGCTGGCACAGCACCACACCAGCCTCCTCGTTCTCTGAATCAGCTACTAGCTGCACAGGCCGCTAACGGACCACAACAGAGGCCTGCTAGGTCCAAAACAAGGGATGGTGGGGTCGCATGAGCATGCATGGGGGATGAGGAGAGCGTGGGGGGGTTCATACACGCATGCGTAGGGGGGCGCATTGCATTATGGGTGCCGGCACGTGTGTGTGTGTCGTGTGCGTGTTTTCGGCACACGACAAGAAAAAGGTTAGCCATCACTGCCCTATACCATTTCAGACAAGTGGCTGTCCAGCTTCGTCTTAAAAACCTCCAGTGATGGAGCACCCACAACTTCTGGAGGCAACTTCTGTTCCACTGGTTAATTGTCTTCACTGTTGGGAAGTTTTTCCTTAATTCTAGGTTGCTTCTCTCCTTGATTAGTTTCCATCCATCGTTTCTTTTCTTGCCTTCTGGTGCTTTGGAGAACAGCTTGTCCCCCTCTTCTTTGTGGCAGCTCCTCAAATAATGGAATACTGCTATCCTCTCGTCGTTCCCAACGTCCTTCTTTTCTCCAGATTAGTCATACCCAGTTCCTGCAACTGTTGTTCCTATGTTATAATCTCCAAGACTTTAATCATTTTAGTGGCTCTTCTCTGCACTTTTTCCAAAAAGTGGGACAGAGCTCAGATCTGTCCATCCAACATTTACGGTCCTTTTTTTGACTCCAAAAACATAAACATCCAAATGAGCCCTCTGAAAAGCTGACATACCAGCCATCCTTTTAGCATACCCGAGATTACTTTCACAGCCAACTTCCCACAAGCAAAATCAATGGGGAAAGCTGGATTTACTTAACAACCACATGAATCACTTAACAACTGCGAATCTGAATTTGCTTAAGCGTCATGGCAAAAAGGTCATGAAATCAATCATGACTTGCTTAATAACCATCTTGCTTAGCAATGAAAGTTCTGGTCCCAGTGGTAGTTGTTAAGTCGAGGACTACCTGTACCCCAACCTATCTAGAACAAATATAAAACAAACAAGCAAAATATGAAAAAGGAAGGAAGGAAGAAGGAAGAAATGGGTGTAGATTTAATTCTTAACTTTTCCAGGATTAGGGGCTCAACTCTCAGTGCTCAACTCTCAGACAAAACCCATAAATAGCTTTTGATATCCTCCAGTTATATTCAGGGAGTTTCTGTGCTAGCACATCTGGGGGGTACCAAAGATAACAAAGCAGTCCTACAAAGGTGGACCTGAACAAGTACGTATGATGGATGGTTGGAGGAACTGGGTATGTCTAGTCTAATGAAAAGAAGGACTAGGGATAGCAGTCCAATCTTTGAGGGGCTGTCACAAAGAAGAGAGGGACAACTTATTCTTGAAAGCATCTGAGGCCAAGACATGGAGTAATAGATGGAAATTTATGAAGGAGAGGTCCAACCTAGAACCAAGAAGAAATTACCTGATAGTGAAAACGTTTAATCAGTGGAACAGCTTGCCTTCAGAAGTTGTGGGTGCTTCATCACTGGAGGTTTTCAAGGAGAGACTAGACAGCCATTTATCCAGAATGGTATAGGGCAGGAGTCTCCAACCTTGACAACTTTAAGACTTGTGGACTTCAACTGGCAAAGCTGGCTGAGGAACTCTGGGAGTTGAAGCCCACAAGTCTTAAAGTTGTCAAGGTTGGAAACACCTGGTATAGGGTTTCCTGCTTGAGTAGGGGGTTGGATTAGAAGATCTCCAAGGTCCCTTCCAACTCTTATTATTCTGTATTCCAATCTGAACAAGCCAGTTTTAGCTTCTCTTCCTTGAGTCTCCAGGTGAAAGCATCTCCCTTGCTTTTGGCTGAACACCTGTTCTTGGCTTTCCTTCAGGATGACATCTACTCCACCAGCAGTAACGCCATGATCCCGGTGAAGTGGACGGCACCAGAAGCTGCCGTCTACCAGACGTACTCCCCCAAATCGGATGTTTGGTCCTACGGGATCCTGCTCTACGAGGTTTTTAGCTATGGACAGTGCCCCTATGATGGTACGATTTCATTTCAATGGATGCTGTGCAGATGATCATGACAACGGAAAAGCTCTTGGGGAGGAAGAGAGCATCTGTGTGTGTCTGCCTGTCTGTCTGTCTGTCTCTCTCTCTCACACACACACACAAAATCTCTCTCTCTCTCTCTCTCTCTCTCTCTCTCTCTCTCTCACACACACACACACACACACACACACTGTGCTACTCCATTCCCCCACTCACTCTCTCACACACACACACAGAAAAGTGTGATTTAGAGAGTTCATTAATGTTCCCCAGCAATTCCCTTCACCCAGCCTCAGCACTGTCCCAAATAAATCCAGCCACAAGCAGGCCAAGGTTAGTCCACAAGGCAACGGCCAATAAATTCACAAAAATGGGAAGTTGCTCCAACAAATAAGTCCACCAAACAAACTTAACTCCAGCAGGCCAAACTGAAATACTCTCATGAGAGCTCACTTGGCAAGAGAAGTTCTGAGTCTCCAAGGCACAAAGTCAAGCAGGAAGCACAAGGAACACACAGCCAGAAATCGAATATATTGTCCCCAGCAACGCCTCCATCTGCCTGCTGCAATAAATAGCTTTCCGGTGCAGCCTGTCAAGATGGGCAGGGCGTTCTCCCGAGTAAATTGGCAGATCTCCTTTGCTCTTGTCTTTTCTCTGCCCTGTGTGCTCTCGGATCCACCAGAGAAAGCAGCTCCTCCCCTTCACTGAGTGCCTTCCCCTGAAAGCTGTCCTCAGCCAAAGCCCCCAGTAAATCTCTTGACCATTCAGACTCATCAATTAACCCAGTTCCTGACGTGCCAGGAATGAGCTCATCCTCCCTTGAGCTGACCTCCGAGGAAGAATCTGAGGAGTCGTTCAAGGGAGACACACAAACACACTTCGTAATATGGCCAATCATAGTGGAAATCCATTGGTTCGCCACCCAATCCCATGTCCTGGATTAGATCTGACCATCCTTCCTTTGTTAGAAACTTCCAAACAGATATTTCCAATTTCAGAAGGTCTAAAGTGGAATCTGAAGCCAACACTGCAGCTAGAAGTATAAAAACCATTACAACCACTAGATTTTGGGGTGTGCGAAATCATCTGGAAAGGTTTGATCACCCCTACATTGGGGAGGAACCCCAACTTTACCAATAAAGGAGAATTTTTGTAGCTCAGAGTTGAAATGAGGATTCCTTAGTTCTCTCTGAGCTCGGCTATTTTCTTGCAGACATTGTTTATTTATTGTTTATTTATTTATTAGTTCAATTTATATGCCACCCTTCTCCAGAGACTCAGGGCTGCTTACAATGCATTAAGCAACAGTTTACATACTTTTGTATATACCTGCTTAGAAGGGCTTTCGGCTCCCCCTAAGCGGTGTTCTTTTTTATACAAAGTCAGTTTATTGCCCCCACAATCCGGGTCCTTATTTTACCTACCTCGGAAGGATGGAAGGCTGAGTCAACCTTGAGCCTGGTGAGATTCGAACTTGCAGTAATTGCAGGCAGCTGGTGCTACTTAACAGCACTTTAGTCTGCTGCGCCACCAAGGCTCTTACATTTCTACCAAATTAGGTAAAACATCATCCGTCCAAGCCCCACTCCCATCTGTACTGATGATGTTACCTAGTTTGATAGTGAAACGTCTGGAAGAAAACAACCAAGCTCAGAGAGCACCACGAAACCCATCTCTGTGTAAGGAGAGTCCTCCATTACCTGTCCCATCTTCTTGTGCCTTGTGAACCTGACCATTTCTCTCATCTGTCTTCTTCTAGGGTTGACCAATCAGGAGACCATCCAGCAGATTACTCGGGGCTACCGTCTCCCTCGCCCCAACAGTTGCTCTTCAGAGATTTATAGCATCATGCTGGAATGCTGGAAGACCCATCCCGAAGATCGGCCAAGTTTTCTCAACTTGAGGGATGCACTCTTTTCGATTTACAAATGGGCGCGTCACCCCTTCTCCTGAATGGGGGGGGGCACCTCCTGCGCCCTCTGCAACAACCATCAGCCCTTCGTGCTCAATGGGCTAGTTAGTAGAAGTCCTGCAGACCTTCTAGCTCAGATTCTCTTGAGCCTGCAGGAACATTTGTGCCTCGGAAGGTGGACGATGTGAGCTCTTCAACCTCAGCAGGTGGAACTGGTGGAGGTGGAGTTATGGGCTCTACCCGTCCACAAATAGCTCACGATAAGAGATACCGTACAGCCAAGAGCTCAGTGTGGAGAGAAACAGAAATGCAGTATTGCCTTCCTTATGGACTCTTCTTGCTTTAGGCACCCGAATGGCTTCCTTTAGTCAATAAACGTGTACAAATGTAGTAATCTGATTTCTTACATCCTGGGTGTTCCTGGCGCATCAATTGGGAGCACCAGGTGAGCCTATGAGCCATGGTGGCACAGTGGTTAGAGTGCAGTACTGCAGGCTACTTCTGCTGACTGCCGGCTGCCTGCAATTTGGCAGTTCAAGTCTCACCAGGCTCAAGCTTGACTCAGCCTTCCATCCTTCCGAGATCGGTAAAATGACCCAGATTGTTGGGGGCAATATGCTAAATCTGTAAACTGCTTAGAGAGGGCTATGAAACACTGTGAAGCGGTATATAAGTGCTAAGTGCTATTGCTAATTTGTTCTGTAAAAAATGGGTTGAAGACGGAGTCCCACCCCATGGAAAAAAAAGTCCATGGAGAAAGAGAGACCTAGCTTTATATGTTTGTCTCTATAGAGGATCAGTGGTGAAATCCAAACTTTTTACTACTGGTTCTGTGGGCGTGACTTGGTGGCTGTGGTGTGGCTTGGTGGGCGTGACAGGGGAAGGGTACTGCAAAATCTCCATTCCCACCCCATTCTGGGACCAGCCAGAGATTGTATTTGCTGGTTCTCCGAACTACTCAAACTTTCCGCTACCGGTTCTCCAGAACCTGTCAGAACCTGCTGGATTTCACGCCTGATGAGGATGGAATGGGACAACTCGCCACAGGCCAATTTGTAGCAGCCAACTCACCACGGACATCGCCGTGGGACAATTTAGCCATTCAATGTAATTGTTTTAAAATCATTTTAAAAATTCATGTCATTCCCATTTCAATCTGTTCCCTCCTTTTGCATCCTTCCTTTTAATGATTCTGCAGGTAGTCCTCGACGTACGACCACAATTGAGCCCAACATTTCTGTGGTTAAGTGAGAATCTGTTAAGTGAGTCTTGTCCCATTTGACCACATCTCTGGCCACAGTTGTTAAGCGAATCGTGGCAGTTGATGAAGTTAGTAATTTGGTTGTTAAGTGAATCTGGCTTCCCCATTGACTTTGCTTGTCAGAAGGTGGCAAAAAGAGATCACATCACACATGACCCTGGGAGGCTACGATGGTCATAAGTATGAACCAGTGCCCAAGCACCAGAATTTTGATCACATGGACATGGGGATACTGCAACAGTTGTAACTATTAAAAAATAGTCATAAGTCACTTTTTTTAAAAAAAGTTTATTTTTGTTTTTCATAAACATATTTAAATGTACAGTCTCTTATCCATCATTAATCTTTAATCTTTCATCTTATCCTTTTACTTTCATTTGTTAATTGTTCGGGGCTGCTCTTTTACCATTTCTTCTCCTTTATTTTACCACAACCTTTCCTCTTCCTCTTCCCTTCTCTTCCTTCTTCTATCTCTTTCTACTTTCCTCATTCCTCCTCTCCTTCCCTTTTCTACTTCCTCTCCCCTTTCCCCACTCCTCTCTTCTTCCTCCTTTTCTAACCCTCTCTCCTACTCTTCTTTCCCCTCCCTTTTCTTCCTCTCCTTTTTCTTCCCTCTCTCTACTCCTCTCTTCTTTTCCACTCCCTTGTTGTTTCCATTTTCAATTCAATCTAAAATAGTATTCCAAAATGGAAAACCAAAGAAAACAGACTTTATTCTTTCATCAAAGTTAAAGTTCTGGGTAAGAAATTCCAAGCACATGCACAAGAGACATGGGAGGAAAGTTCTACGAAGCATGAGATGATGCGGGGTCCTTTCTTATACCCACAAAAGTCTTAGTATTCTAATTACTCTAGTCATATAATCTAACTACATTGTAAAACTCAGTCATATACCCTAACTTAGATTTTACATCTTCCTGCAACAGACAGATTCCTTTCTTGGCAGTGTTTTTCTTTTATTATCTTTTCCCTCCTTTTGTCTTCCTAATTGGCCACTCATGGTCCCCTATTAACAGCACAAAAGATGTGTGGATTGCTCTGGTAGTTTGAGATAGAGATAATTATGTGCCAACTCCTGGAGGAAACAGGGTGGCATTTATGGAAGAAGGAAAAGGATTTATGAAGGATTTAGATCTTAATGCAGGAAGGATGCAATTGATTGCAGGCATATGTTTTTACAGAGGCATATGTGTTACAAATGCCTAACAATTAAATGCTTAAAATGAAAATACTTTTACAGCAGCATAACACACACACACACACACACACACAAATATACTACAATAGAACAAATATCTATAGAATAACAAGTTTCCATTTATTTATTACTATTCCCTTCAGAACAATCACTAAACAAACTGTTCTAAATCAAGGACTGCCTGTATTCCACTATTTCTTTAATATTAGTGTAATTCTTGTACCAGAGCGAGTTGTCCCACAGCAAATTAGCTGCAGTGAATTGTCATAGGCAGCTCCCCCCATCCCCGTATGAGGAAGAGAGAGAAAAATCCTTCTCCCTATTCCTTGTCCTCTTCTTCTGCTCTCTCTCCCCGTCCTTTTTTTCCCTACCCCTTTCCAATACGTTTTGGCTAAAAGGACAGGTAGTCCTCAAGTTACGACCGTCATGGAGCCTGTCCTAATAGTCATTTCATGATGTGTTATGCGGTGGTTGTTAAGCGAACCAACGGTTCATTATGGGTGCTGTTTTCCTGAAAACCGGAAGCATGTACCAGTTTTCGGCAAATCTGTCATAAACACGGGTCATGTGAGCGTGGGATGCTGCAAATGACAGCCAATCTGTCCGTGTTGCCATGTACCTGAAGTGGTGTCACATGACCGGCGGGGGAGGGGGGAATGACTCAGTGGTGAAATCCAATTTTTTTTACTACCGGTTCTGTGGGCGTAGCTTGGTGGGCGTGGTGTGGCTTGGTGGGCGTGGCAGGGGAAGGATACTGCAAAACCCCCATTCCCTCCCCACTCTGGGGCCAGCCAGAAGTGGTATTTGCCGGTTCTCCGAACTATTGAAAAATTTCGGCTGCCGGTTCTCCAGAATTTGTCAGAACCTGCTGGATTTCACCCCTGGAATGACTGTTGGAATTTTGGATCCTGGGCCGTAAGTTCCTTTTTTCAGGTAGGTTGTAATTTTGAACAGTCACTAAGCAACCGGTCGTAAGTTGAGGACAACTTCAAATGAGCCTTGACCCATGAATTTTAGGTTACATTCAGCCAATTTCCTTTCTCCCTCCCTCCGTCTTTCCCTCCTTCCTTCTCTTCTCTCCCTCCCTCCCTTCCTTCCCCTCTCTCCTTTCTCCTTCTTCTCCTCCCACCTCCTCCTCTCCTTCTCCCCTTACTTTCCTTTCCCCACTCCTCCGCTTCACTCTTTCCCTTCCTCCCTCCTTTCCTGAATTTGTATGCTACCTACAAAGTAGACTAGTAGCTCAGGAAGCAAAGGAACATGTCTTACCCATTACTTTCCTTACTGAAGTCTCTGTGGAGTCAAGCACCGTTTCTCTAAACTTCGCAGGCAGGTCTACATCAGAGGTGGGTTTCAGCAGGTTCTGACCAGTTCTGGAGAACCGGTAGCGGAAATTTTGAGTAGTTTGGAGAACCGATAAATACCACCTCTGACTGGCCCCGCCCCCATCTATTCTCTGCCTCCCAAGTCCTAGCTGATTGGGAGGAAATGGGAATTTTACAATAACCTTCCCCTGGAGGGGGGTGGGAATGGAGATTTTACAGTATCCTTCCCCTACCACACCCACCAAGTCACATCCACAGAACTGGTAGTAAAAAAAATTGAAACCACTGGTCTACATCTCTTTTTTTGTAGTAGAACGGAAGTGATTTCTCACTGTATTTTTTCGTTCACAGCCTACAGAACTGGAGTTTTGAAGTGGTTTTTTCATCCAAGCAATACTCAGATCTGGTCTTGCTTAATTTTTTTTCAGGTCAGCCCAAAATGTTTTCAAATGTTAATGATCTTCTAATAATTACTTGCTCAAGTTTATTCCATGCTTAATAACAGCTCTTATCCTGCTTCAAAGGATTCCCTTAAATATTGATAATATTGACTGGGATAACAAGAAGGATATCAAGATAATTTTTTGCTATTATAATCTCTTGGACTAAAGCAGAACATAAATCATAAATGACAAGCTGTGGACAATTAGCCCAAACAACTGAGTGAAGGAAATTAAAGCTTATTCCTGCATACAATATTTACCTGTCCTGAATTTGCATCAACGGAAAAGCAGAGTTTTCGGGAAAGTCACAGCTTTCTACCATTAAAGTTTTTGCTGTTTCAGGAAGAAAAAGAAAAATCGAAAAATCTTCAATCACTTCTTTTTCAACCCAACTTTCCAAACCCAGCGCTTTGCAAACGCATCGGGACTACATTTCCCAAAATTCCCTAGCCACTCGGATTGCTGGGAGCTGCAGTTCCGAGACATCTGGAAGATACCAAGTGCGAAAAGCTGGGGGAGGCATCAAGTTATACATTATTAGAGAGTGCCTGAATCTTAAAAATAAATAAATACGACGTCAACAAAAGATCCTTTGTTTCTGCACTGAATCATATTCTCCGGATTGCTTGAAATTCGCCAAATGTTACCGGCGTAAAAACGTGAGGAAAACTGACACCCACCCCCCCGCCAGTCGCGCTCTGGTTATGAGCGACCGCCTGCAGTCGGGCGGAGCCTACAGCGGACCCGAGAAGCCTAATTTCCCTTCGGGTGCACCCATGATGCATTGCGCAGCAAGAAGACGAAATTTTGCCGAAATTTCTGCAATTTGTAAAATTATCTTTTCCATTCGAGCTTCACCTTGTTCATTTTCTTAATGATATATATACTCACAATGTAACTCATATGTCTAACGGGAAGGTCACCATATTGTAGTGGATAGGCAGCTTTGCAGGGACCGGTCTCTCGAACCACGATTAAGTATACTCTGGTTTCTCTTCAGATCGTATAAATCTTTCGCCTTTTACTAAAGATTTCCGTGGAGAGGAACATTTATGAGTTTCGATTAATTTTTTGAGGCCCTGCTTCGGTAGGGCTACCTTTGCTTGGTTCCAAAAATAGATTGTGGTGCTTCGAAAAAAGTAACGCGTGTAGTTGTGTTACCAACC